CTTTAGTAGTAGCTGCACACTACCAGTAACCTCCAAGAATCAGCCGATCCTCCTTCCTTGTTGAAAAACTTCCAAACCTAGGAGGTTCTCATGCAGTCGGCCTAATCAGACTAGCATAAGAGCTCCTAGGTCGGCTCTGATACCAAGTAGTCGATCTAGACTACAATCAGTCTTGAATTAAAAGAAAAAAGGATGAAAAATTAAAGAGAAGAAGAAGAAGAGAAGAGGTACACGAAGAGAGCTTCAGAAAAGAGAGGGAAGGTTATATTTTCTGTCGACCCACTCTTAGTATTTATATAACTATTGGCTAACTATAAAAGGGTCGAATTGCCCTTATTGCTTACATGGCAAATAGAATAAGAAATAACTAATAATAAAGCTGAAATGACAACTAAAATAACTACCAACTAACACTGTCATATCTAACAAAAATATTGCTGCCATACGAACACTGTGGGGTCCACATCAGTGTTCTCTACACCTTCTCCAGTTTCTTAGCCTCCCTAGGGGGAATCCTAAAAACTGAAAGGAAGTAGGTTGGAAAGTGTTGTGAGGGTAGCATCCCAACCATTTACTGAGCAGCCAAAAATACTTGACACCACCACATCCCACAATCTCTCTCTCTCTCTCTCTCTCTCTCCCCCCCCCTCCCTAGGAGGGCTTCATTCTTCTGCACTAAGTTCCCTATCCCTAGGCCCCCTTCATTCTCCCTCCCTCCCTTAGGTTTATTGACTATCTCCCATCTAACTAGATGGTCCTTTTTCACCTCTCCTAGTTCCCACAGAAAATCCCTCATTACCTCCCTAGGGGGAATCCTAAAAACTAAAAGGAAGTAGGTTGGAAGGTTTGAAAACCTTCTTGCTGAAATCTTTGTGAGATAACCAGAATTTTTCCAGTTTGAAAGGGGTCTTTCTTTTGATAATCCTATCAGTGTCCAGCAATAAAGGCCAGTGATTTGAAGTACATCTTGGGTGAAGTCAGTGTTTTAAAAGCGCAAGGCGCAAAAAAGGCACAAGGGTCAATTTGCGCCTAAGGCACAAGGCGAGGCGTGCGCCTTTTTGAAGCAAGGCGCAAAACTATAAAAAAAAATGTCAAAAAATTCAAAAAAAAATGCCAAAAAATTCAAAAAAAATAAAAATAACTAAACATAATATTAATAAAAAATATAAACTTAAATTTTAAAATAATGTTTTAAAAAACCTATTATCTAAAATTAAAATACATAAACATAAGATGTAATTATGTAAAGCATATTCAAATGAGAATTTAAAAATAAAATCAAACATATAAAATATTTTCAAGCATTTAAAACCTCTAATCTCTTTTTTCACTCAATTGCATTACTTCACGTAGCTAATGTAATGTAAAACATATTACATTCCTGATTCTACGAGCCGCCTTTGTGCCACGCCCCTCGAGGCAAGCCTAAACAAGTCCACGTTAGGTCTTAAATTCTTAGTTTTCACACAAAAAATAATGCTTTTATAGTTTTACATGCTTTTTAAGAAGACATTTTATTAGGATGAATGAATGAACAACATTACCAAATTGGGGGTTCTCAGGCGGAGCCCCCGGCCCAGCCGCTATGTTCAAAAAAGACAAAAAAATGGCAAATTTTCAAAAGGTGCATGCCTGGGCTGAGGTGCAAGGCGCATTAGGCGCACCAGGCGTGCGCCTTAAAAGGATTGCACCTAGAACCTAGGTGAGGCACATACCCTAAAATGCGCCTAGCCTGTGCGCCTCAGGCGGCGCGCCTTTTAAATCACTGGGTGAAGTTCTTGGCAAAGTTGGGGAATCCTTCCTTAGTCCTTCCAGTCCTGAGAAAGCAAAAATCAGTCAAGTCTGCAGCTATAACATTTTCTTGCATATTTGACCAGGTGAAGAATCCGTTATTAAGGGGGAGGTCACACAAGTTGTGTCTAGAAATAAAATTAGAGAAGTTCCTCATACTTCTGGTTGGGGCTCTACCATTGGAGTGTTCCTGACTGAATCTAGTGGCGTTGAAGTCTCCAGCATAGTTGTCAAGGTGACGCCTAGGCGGGCGCCTAGACGACAAGGCGCCCTTTGAGGCTCACCCCGCCTAATCGCCAAGAAGTTTTCTACTTCCTACTATAAAATACTTTTTATTCATTCTTTTTTGAGATTATAATTATAAAATAAACATTATTAAACTAAAATAATCATTTTGTGTGTTTATATACTAATTTCTTTTTATTATTTTCTTATTTGTTAGGGTTTAATCAACACAAACATTGCTAAATTCTGTATTGAACCCTCAAAGACTTAAAAACCTGACCCAATAAGTAAGGAAGAACTTAAAATTTTATCTAATCAGCACATTTTCTTCTTCCATATATTTTCTTCTTATTTTATCTACTACTACTACCAATACTTTTTATTTTCTCCTTTTCCTACAACAAAAAATAAGAGTTCAGCCCCTATATTTTTGAATTTTATTTTCCTTCTTCCTTTTCTTCTCATGAATATGTTGATTTTCTATACTTTAATATGAAATTTATACTTTTCTTATGAAAATCATGAATAATTATTGAAAAAAAAATATGGTTATGGTACCTAGGAAACTACCCAAGGATTTATGTTTTTAACATAAAAAAATCCATCGCCTAGGCGACACCTAGAYGACAAGGCGCCCCCCAGTCACCTAGCCTCGCCTTGGTGCCTTGAAAACTATGGTCTCCAGCTAAACACCACTGGATATCTTCCTCATGCAGGGAGTCCAATTCGTCCCAAAATCTTTCTCTATTAGGAGAGTTGGGGCCATACACTCCGGTAAGAATCTAGCTGAAACCATCTTTAATATTTGTGAACAAAACTGAGATTAAGAATTCACATTTGTCAATCTCCAAACCCGAAATTTCGTCTTCCTTCCATGCTAGGATGATTCCACCAGCAGATCCCACCGCTGGAACAGCAGTCCATTTCCTTCCCCTTATTCCTCAAATGGCTTTCATATGTTTTCTATCAATTACTTCCTTTTTTTATTCCTGAAGAATAATTATGTCTGGGTTTTCTCTTTTCAAAGTTTCTTTCACAAAGCTTCTTTTAAGCTGGCATTCCATCTTAGAGCCACTTGGAAATCTCCAGATCCCTTCTCCATCTCACAGCTTTAATTCTTTCAAATAACACCTAAATAGAGTGCCAGTACTATTATATGATGCTAACCTTGCCCAAAGACATTCATGATATAGCTGAGTTAGGTTTATAGTGGTTGCTTGTTTTCATATGGAAGTTCTAGTTTTCTTTGTTGTATGTAGACCTCTAGAATTATCTCAGAAATTCCTGTTTCCCCTCAATGTGGGCCAGTAACCAAAAATATCTTTTGGAGTTCTTGGATTCCACATATCAAGACTAAAGAGGCTGTAATTGTATCCCCGTTAATGATTCGAGAAGCAGCAACCAAAACATAGGTGCATCACATTCTCTTTCTCAGCTAAGCAAAGATAGCATCTTCCTGCCAGCTGAACTCCGCATAAATACTTAGGTTTCTTTCTCTCTTAGGTTGTAAGTGGACTCACCAGGAGATGCAGAAAACCTCTTCAAGACATCTTTCTTCAACCCACCTAAGAACAAGGGAAGATAATATGGAGATGCACAACAGCAGCAATATCATAGTCACTAAATGAAGAAAAGAATGTTCAAACATTATACAAGAAGCCACAATCCAAGGAGGCCATCACTGAAAATAGCTTGCTAAAGTTGGTGCATTTGATAAAACCATTAGATACCTTTGCAACATTTCCATAGATGATATCATGAGAGAATGGCATTATCTGGCACATTCATCTTCAGTTCAACCTAGCATCTCCATGGAGTGGCACCCACCAGCTGTGTACCAAGCTAAAGTGAACGTTGATGGGTGAGGTATAGGGAATCCTGACGGCATAGGGGGAGTCTTTAGAAACAGATACTGAGCCATTCTAATCCTTATTTGAGGGCCCATAGGTTTTAGGTGTGGGAGACTCTTCCACTGTACTACAAGGGCTGAGGTTGGGCAAAACTCTTTCGAGTAGACATCTCCAACTGGGCTTGAATTTTTGTGAATTGGTTCAATAATACTAGTTCAATAAGTTGCTGCAATTCCAAGGAATCCATACAAACTTGAAAGATCTTTGTCTGCAAAGCATCTGTCACTTCACTTTACAGATAGCTACTGAACTAGACACTACATATTATGGGGAAATGTAGCTGAACCAAAGAAACCCAGATGGGAAAATCCACACAGACTGACCACAACCAGAAAGCAACGTTTTAAAAAACTACCCAGATGCCCAAAACAGAAAGCTGTCCAGGTTATAGGTTGAATGGTTTCACTTGCAGTTTGCCGGGTGAAACAATCAAAACTGTCAAAAATCCAGAACCCGGTCAACCTTCCAGTTCAACCATCTGGATCAACAACAGTTTGAAAATATTGCTAGGGTATTCAAACCATTGTCAAGATATCGTAGAACAACCCACATATAAAGTTGACAAATCTTCAATTTCCCCAATAATATTAGTTAATACATCAATCATGCACCTGACTAGGCATCTACTTCAAATCCTAGAGAAGAAAAAAGGCCAATTTACAAGCTTTAAGGCCTCGAAAGACAAATTGGAACAAAAGTATGATTTAAGTTTAATCTTACTAGTTACAATAGATAGTTTGTAACTAGTAAAATGGAAAAACAGAAAAAGAGCTCTGGCCTATACATACCTCTGCAAAGTTCCTTTGGTCTGAACTAAGACGTTTTGTTGACAACTCCTTCAAGGTTCGGAAAATGACCATGAAAATTCTGTGAGAGGTAAGTATATCTGCCGATTGAAGATGTTGCGCTAAAACAGAAAAGAGCTCTGGCCTGAACAAATTGCACCATCAACAGATACTCAAGTCATTATCATACCAAGGTTGACTTGAAGAAGCAATATATTTCCCATTTTCATAAAATACAAATGCATCATGTGTTTGAAATAAATAACAAAAACATGATAAAATGCACTTGCGCTTACAAAGTCAGTTAACATGCATGACTGACACTAGAAAAGCAGCATTCTTGTGCAACAAAAAGGGTGGTGGCGTGGTGCATAGATCAGCAAAGTGCATTTCAGATACTCTTGCTAAACAAGGGGCAACTAGGGAACCTATGTATTGGGGTGGGAGTTAACAAATGGAAGAAATGGGTGGGCTGATTTGAAAGATTTGCGGTTGGGTGGTGAATGCCAGCCTAACAGGCCCCTCCTTGTACATTACATTCTTTCTCATAAGTTAACAAAGTTACTTTTTTTTTTTGATAAATAACAAAGTTACTTTTTTTGATCGATTACAAAGCAATTTATTAATATGAAATTTAAGCATGGTACAACAGAAAGCTATGGGAAGAGGTAAACTCTCTTAACCCTCCCCAAGAAACAAAAAACAGGTAAGAAAACTACCCAGAACATTTGCTCCCTTCCCACCCCTTGCTTAGCAAGCGCATCCGTAAATGAGTTGGCACTTTCTCCAAAAAGTAAAATAAAGGTGCTGCATTGTTTTAAGTCCCCTCCTTCAAAAGAGACTACTGTTCTCTCGTCATGGTCATCAATGCATGTATTGATGCCAACTGGGCTGGAGCCCGGATGGTAGGTGTTCTATGTCAAAGGTACAGGTACTACATTCTTGTTGATGATAACTTACTTGGAGGAGCAAAAAGCAGTTAGTGGTTGCCTGTTGTAATGCAAAAACTGAATACTAAGCTATGACACTAGGCACATGAGGAAACAAAAAAAAAAAAAACTATGGCTCATTGGATTTCTAAATTATTATAAGTAAATTAGGGGTAAATATCATTGTTCCCATGAGACCAAATTGTAACAATCAAGCAGCTATTAATATAGCTCACAACCTAGTACAACATGATCAAACTAAACACATTGAAGTGAACTGGCATTTTGTTGAAGATAAGATATCAGCTCAAGGTGTGTCTGCCTTTTGTGAAGATTAAAATTTAAAAAGAAACTTACAGTTACTAAGGCTCTGTTTGGTTTGTGGGAAGATTGGGGTGGGATGGGATGAGAAGGTGTAAAAATTTAACTTTCCATTGTTTGGTTTTATATGGACAAATAGTAGTAAAAGTATCCAACACAAAACAGAGGAGATGATGTCGGCCTGGAAGAAACTACTACAATGGTTCTCTGCTTTCAGATCATCCTCACTAGCAGCGGTGATGACTGGAAGTTTGTACTGAAGAGATTGACAACAGAGGACCCAAAGTAATTTGGATTTCTTCACACACTATCAGTAGGGCTGTTGTCGGATTAGAATAGGATAGATGATAGACAGATAGGCCACCTGTCTTATCTAGATGTTAGATGGGACTTGGTATGCCATTAGTTGATGTTTTTCATTTTTGGAAGAAACTACTACAATGGTTCTCTGCTTTCAGATCATCCTCACTAGCAGCGGTGATGACTGGAAGTTTGTACTGAAGAGATTGACAACAGAGGACCCAAAGTAATTTGGATTTCTTCACACACTATCAGTAGGGCTGTTGTTGGATTAGAATAGGATAGATGATAGACGGATAGGACACCTGTCTTATCTAGATGTTAGAATAGGATAGATGCCATTAGTTGATGTTTTTCACTTTTGGAGGTAATGAAATGAAATGAGAAAAACACTTTATTTTGACAACAGAGGAGATGATTCTGGCGCGAGCTTCGCCTGAATAAGACTTCTAATGGCGTCTGCTGTGGTTGGATCTGTTCGTCCGGCGAACGCAATAAAGAGACAGAGATCGGAGGAAGTGGTTCTCTGTTTTCAGATCATCCTCACTAGAGGTGATGGCGTCTGCTGTGGTTGGATCTGTTCGTCCGGCAAACGCAACAAAGAGACGGAGATCGGAGGTAGCGGTTCTCTGTTTTCAGACCATCCTCACTAGCAGTAATGGCATCTGCTGTGGTTGGATCTGTTCGTCCGGCGAATGCAATAAAGAGACGAAGATCGGAGGTAGCAGTTCTCTGTTTTCAGATCATCCTCACTAGCGGTGATGACTAGAAGTTTATACTGAAGAGATTGACAACAGAGGAGATGATTCCAGTGCAAGCTTCGCCTGAACAAGACTTCTAATGGTGTCTGCTGTGGTTGGATCTGTTCGCAGAGTTCTCAGAGGTGGAAGAAGAAGAGTCCCTATTCATCAAAAAAAAAAGAAGAAGAAGAGTCCCTCGAGTTTTCTCGAGAGGTTGAAGAAGAAGGCCCATCCTCCTTCAAGCGAATGAAGTTTCTCGAGTTTTCCCACCGGGGTCACACTGTTTTAGTGCGATCCCAATTAGACGATTTTGGGATCCCGCATCCCACGTTTTTCTCATCCCATCCCCCTATTTCCCTCAAAACAAATAAGAGAAAAAGGAATATTTTTGGAATATTCCCTTTTTCTCATCCCCATCCCACGAACCAAACAGAGCCTAAGGGAGTGGTATAAGGGGAAAAGTTGAGCATGACCAACATCTATGCTCCACTTGAGGAGTGTTGAGAACAAGGTTCAAAATATCAATACGATCAGCCGATACCTATCGTATTGGGAGCTTCCCTATACGCCCCTACAGAGGTTGTATCGGGGTTTTGACTGGTTCAGGGGGTTGACGGACCTTAAACTGGCCCCTCTGAACCGGATTTGAAAAAAAAAAAACTAAAGAACTGCCGATACTGCCTGATACGCCTCCACCAGCGTATTGGGCATATCGATATTTTGAACCTTGGTTGAGAAGACTAATAATTTGGGGCATTCTTGTAATTTGCTAGATAGGAGTAACTTTGTAATTGTATAGTATAGACCTAGAAGTACAACTGATATGAGATGATTGAGAGGCCCTGCTAACTTCTTATCCTTCCATTCTATATTCTTAATTCTGTTCTTCAAGTTATTACTCTCTCTATGCTTCAACACTATTATATTTATTACCTTATTCTCATTGCACAATCAAGGAGTATAAACTAACAGAAATTGTTTAATTACATTTACTAAACGAAATTTTTTTAAATTGTATAATATACATTGAAGCATAAACAATTTCTTCTAAGCACAAATAGCATCCTTCCACACAAGCTGTCAATTTAAAAGCAGTTAAAGAAGCATAGGTTAAAGAAATACCACTCTTTTGGATAATCAATGCGTGCAATTTTTGAGATCAGAACAGCCAATTGAAGAGCTATCTGCATTGAACCAAGCAAATGAAATACAAAGGGTTAAGCATATCATTGAAAAACTCAGGGAAGGTGCTGAAGTAGAAGTTAATAGTAAAGGGTTAATACAAAAGGAGGGGAAATCACAAAAAGGAAAAAGGCAAGTACAAATTAAACCAAATACAGGACTGAATCCCCAGGATCCACCTTAAAGAGTCCAGATCCTTGGCATCAGATGTAGGTGACAAGGGTCCAAATTATTCTGGGAACTGAGAATTCAGAATGGTTATTACTGTTTTACTATTGTTTCTTTTAAAGGCATGGGTTGTTTTGCCTAATTTCTGGACCTTGGATGCATGATTCAATATATATATATATATATATATATAGAGAGAGAGAGAGAGAGAGAGAGAGAAGTAATATATCTCACTTTTAATCCATATTTTCTATATATGTAATTAAAGCAACAGAGTTTCTATATATTCAATATATATATATAGAGGCATAAGATGATACAATGCAGTTTGACCTAAAGCCAATTAATCCTCATTAATGGCTCTTTATCCTACATATGATGGAAAATATACTCAATAAAGTTACTAAATGGCTTAGATGATCCAAATAAACTTTAGGGAAAATTTCATCCTCTCCCAAACCCTAAACTTTAGATCATGGTTGTCACCTAGGCAACAATGAAGCGCCTAGGTGCACCTAGGCGGCTGGAGGTCACCTTGACAATATATTTCTACCAAGAAAAAACTAGATTTAGATTAGTTCCCTAGTTTTATATACCAATCAGCATGCATATAAATTTGAAAATAGCAATCCTCTTTATTAATAACATCAATTTTCCTCTAAAAAAAACAGGGCAAATTGGCATATCTAAAAATATTAGGGGGTGTTCAACAATGTGAATGGTTTTGTTTTCTAAATCAAAAACAATACATTTTTGCAGATGTGGCAGTTCTTTTTGTTTTAGAAAACAAAACCAACCCCCTCCCCCAGCATATAAAATCAATTAACTCCAATATTTCAAAAAACAACTCTATAATATAATAAGTATTTCATAGAACAATTGCATGTCAAAAAAAAATATTTGAAACTAAATAAGGCTATAATTTTATACTAACAAAAATTTAAGAGAATAAAAAGAGGGAAAAGAATAATAGATGCAGGCATGGAGCAAGCCCCTATTCTATTTAATATAAGCAAGAGAATATTGTAGGAAAGGATCTTCTCGAGTAAAGAGAGAGGTATTGAAGAAATCTTGGAGATCATACACATTAGAATGATACAATGGTTGAGAACATTGGAGCTGTTCAAAGTGTTCTCAGTTGATGAGCTGTTAAGGAATTGGAAGGAGATTGCAGATTCAGGCTTATGTAGAAAGTTATCAAAACCTTGTTGGACGCCTCCACCTATTGGATTCACCAAACTGAATTTTGATGGCAGCAGCATAGGCAACCCAGGGCCTTCTGGAATTGGAGGTGTGATAAGGGATGGAACAGGAAACTTGTTAGCCATGTACTTTGGACCGATTGGGGTGGGAGACTCATTGAGGGCTGAGATTTTTGTAGCTATTGAAGAGATTCAAAGGGTCAAGAAAATGAAGATCAAAAAGGTGGTTATAGAAGGTGACTCTGAAATGGTGGTGAAATGGCTAACAGAGGACAGTGCTATGAAGATTTTGGTGGCAGATGAATGCGTAGTCGAGAAGAGAAGTGGAGGGAAAGGCTTCATTTGTATCCCATGCGACAAAATTTGACCTTTGAAAGACTGGTGTAATTGATTAGTAACCCATGGAAGGTAGGTTCTTGGACGAGGGCAGGTTCAGAGTAGTAGGAAGGTGGAGGTCTGAGGTGTCGATCAAAGCCAAGACTTTCAAGTTCGAAGAGGAAAGGATTAAAGGTGAGGATGTTTTGAAAATCAGAGAGAATAACAGGGTGACTGTGTTGGTGTCAAAGGAGGTCTTAGTCTGGTTGAAAGGTTTCATAGATGGGGCTATCAACTCTGGTAAGGTGGTTGGATGGACAAATTCTTTGGCTGTACCAGGTAAGAAGTATGTAACAG